ACAGAGCTGTTTTTCAACAGTCCGTGGGTGTACTAGTTGAGCCAGGCCCTTGTGGCTGATCCCACAGAGCTGTTTTTCAACAGTCCGTGGGTGTATTAGTTGAGCCAGGCCTTGTGGTTGATCCCACAGAGCTGTTTTTCGACAGCCTGCGGGTTTACCAGCCGTGCTTGGCCCACAGGTGCTGGTTCCACAGGCATGTTTTTCAACAGCCTGTGGGCATACCAGTTGAGCTTGGCTGACGGGTGTTGGTCCCACAGGCCTGTTCACACTCAATCTTCTTACAGCAAATTGTGGTTGGCAAACTGTGCCTTACCCGGGCACAGTTCACTATTTTCTTGGGTCCCACGGGCCTGCTCACACTCAAGCCTTCGAGCAGCAGATCTTGGCTGGTGGACGGTGCATCTGCAGGAGATCCCCACCACTCAGGCTCCCGCTGCTTCGAGGGCTTTGCACCCACAGGCTCACGTGCACGTTGGCCCCGTCTCTGTGCTTTCAAGACGGGGAGGATAGAGGAATTTCGTCAACACCCTGAATACGCAGGAACCCTAACGGGCCCGCAAAAAGAGGCGCGTGCTCAAGGTCCTCGACTGTCGTGGCGGCCACTCGCGGGGGGTTTCAATCGCTCCCCACCTCAATGCCAGTTGCCATCAGCCTATGCTGGCATGCAGCCCACATACCGTCAAGGAGGGCGGTGACTCAACTACCCTTCCATCCCCCGTTGAGCGGGGATACACAACGTCTCTCCGTCCGCTCCTTCAACAAATTTTAAACATTCTTTAACTCTCTCTCGAATTTCTTTTCATCCGCCCTCGCGGTACTTCTTCGTCGTCGGTCCCGAAGCCGGTTTTTGGCCCGGTCAACGGACGGGACATTAAGAAAAGAGAAAAGAGAAGAAAAAAATAAAATAAAAAAAATAGTAGAATAGAAGAGGACGTGGCACCCTCTTGGTCTTGCCAATCGGACCCAGACCCGGGCCCGTTCGGCAAAACCAAGGGGGATAGTCCCTTAGGACCCTTGACCCCTTAGTCTCCGCCTGTCTCGCTCCTTCGCTCCTTAATCGCTCGCTGGCCTCGAACCGCAGACCCGTCGGTGGAAGGTCCAGTACCGTAACCAATAGGGTAAAGCCCATGTTTGAACTACGTAGGTGCGAACCCTACATATGAATAGTTGCGGGACTGTGATTTTTCCTACCCGCATAAACCAGGCCTTTGCCTTGGCCTACCGGCCAATCTCCCGGTCGACAGATGACGTTGTTCGTGCCTAGATTCGTAAAACCGTCTGACACACTGGTCGTTGAGTGCACCACGTGCTTTGCCGAACTATCGACTTTCCCAAACTCGGCCTGACGAACCCGTACCTTTCAGCGTGTCGTCAAACACAATCTTCCCGCGTGCGCACAAGGTAAAATTTTCATCTCCTTCGCGATAGGCCCCGCCAAAAGGCCGAGCCGGTCTACAAAGTAAAGGTAGATAGATACTATAAAATGAAAGAAAAATATAACCAAAATAAAAATTACAGAAGGCTGGTAACCAGACCCTATGACTTTGATACCTCCTGCCAGCGTTCTTCGAGCATAGCCCACACCGACCGTGGGTTTGCTTATCAATTTTCTATTCGGCTCCACGGACTGCGCTACGCGCGTTTTTGGTCAAGCTCATTCCTTGCTAGCTGGTTTGGCATCGTTGACGATTAATGGTCATCTTATTGTGCTACGCAGTAATGCGAGCCCCACACACCCTCTAACTCGGCCATACCTGGCCTGGACTCTCGCCAAGAGCGAGGTTGTCGAGATGAGCGTCCCGACGGGATCTGTCCCATCACCGCGTTACATTTATCAAGGACGCACCCAGTGCGATCTTCAAAAACAACGGCAAATACCCTTGTAAGGGTGTTTGCTACAACAGTCCTCCCAGACCCCATTAAGCGACGTTCCCGTCGCTTTGGGTAAAGTTTAAAGAGTATAAGTGAAAACAAAAACAATGCATAGACTGAGCATGTGGATAACCAAATCCGTATAGTCGGAAGGACTCAACTTGGGGTTTGGTATTCTAATCCTGCGGCATCCCTTTGGCGAGCAGGATTCCAACCTGCACCTCCTGTCTGACTCACAGGGATACTTTCTTTATACTATTGCCTTAGGTTAGCTTTAGTATTCAATTACCAAACCCTTTCGTTTATCCTAGACGCCTTCCGACTTTCGTTGGGTGCCGTCTGAGTTGGGTTGTCATGCAACAGTCGTCTTCGGACGCGGGTTTTAGGCAAGACAACTGCCCTGAGTGGGACAACTAGCAACACATAATCAACGCAGGTAGCCCACCCCTCTTGAGTAGCTTAGCAGACTCAAAGCATACTCCTCCAGGTAGCTCACTCTGTAATCGAAATAAGTATGATACTCATCCGGGTGACTTACCATATAAAAGCACACCCTTTTGAGCAACTCAAACTTGTGACACACACAGTGCTGCTTGTAGCTCACTCCATGCAATTTAAATCAAACTTAGACCAACCTTGCTTCTAGTCATAGGTGGGTCATAGTCCTGCCCTCAGCCCACCATGGTCTGGTTGATCGAGCCAAACCACGGCTCATCGTGCGATTAAGCAGCGATGTTGCCTACATTGTCTGCACAATGCTAAGGCGACTCTCTGACCTTTAGACCTAAGTACTCCCTAACAGTTGCCCTAGTTAGAGTCTTTGGAGTGACCCGATAATTGTCTTAAATATTTTAACCCCCTCACATGATGATAGTAAATGATGATAATATTAAAAATAATAATAATATTAATAGTAGTAAGTAGTGGTAAATAATAGTAATCATAATAACCCCCTTATACATATTATAAGTCATGGATGATGGTGCGGGTCACTCCTCTGTCTCTAAGTTCAGGCTAAGCTAGGGGTCCGCTGTCCTGGTTAGGCGGGACAGCAGCCCACGTTGGGGATTGCCCCAACGATGTCAATTTTGCCCTCGGCTTAGGCCTCCCAAAATATTGTTGGGCCAACTTTCAATGCTTGCAGTCGTTCTGCTTGATCATGGCAGATGCGACTGCTGACCCCAGAGCCTCACAAACAAGTTTCTTTCTCTTTCGAAGAAACTCCTCAACATATAGACATCTTCTCAAGCTTGGTTATCCACTGACAGTTTTCTGCAAAAATCAAAGTTTTATCGATCTTCACGAACAAGTTATAATAAAAAATTTATGCTTTCATCTCACATGCATAAATAGGTGATTCCTCAAAACGGGTCCCCTTCCATCAAACATTTGGGTTGCCTTTTCGACCCAGCCAATTTCCATGCATTTTTGTCGAACAATTTTTCACTGATTCTTCCATATTGATTCATATACAATCAAGGTCAGTAATCACTTGTTCAATAATCAAACAACTCACTCACAATCATAAACAAAGACAAACATTACAGATGCAAGGGAAGTGAGTACAAGTCCATACTGTGAGAATCATCCTTGGCTCCCTGTTTCCACACGAGACTTATAGATCTGAATCAAACCCGTCAATATCGCATACTAAAAAAAATGATCACAGAGGAAAGTCGTAACACAGTATTGTGTCCCATAGGATATATCCATAGGTGTGACACCCACAAGGCCCCACTCAAAGTTCAGAAATATCCTCTCTAGAAATCTTATGAATCAAGACGCCTCGCAGAAAGCACAAAGCACTCCAACTCTCAAAACAATCACCGAAAAATCGAAAAAACTCACGTGGGTGTCATCACCCAAATAACAAACAGTGTCCCTGAAAAGAAAACATGTATCCCACGAAGATACTCACTAACTCAAGGTCCTACACTAAAAGGGTCATACTCATATCAAATGCACACAAATCTCACACAAAACTCACACAAAACTCACACAAAACTCACATAAAATTGGGCTCTCATGCCCAGGGCAATCTCTGAAACCCCTACTCAAGCCAATCTACTCAAACTAGTAGTCTATCATGTATGTACAGTCTACTGAAGCGTGAATCAAGTCTAGTCACCAACTATATATAGTACACCGCTCGGTCCTGAAGCCATGAGTCCTCAATAGTAGAAGATACGAGTAATATGCAACGAGTCCAACAGTCTATCTCCCATAACCACCACCTCGTCCTCATCGATCTTCTCTCTAATCTCATAGTCTGACATCTCATGCGTCTCGTGGATACGTAGTCTGTCACTCATCATCCCTCAGCTTCAGGCCTAGCCTGTCGTATACAGCTCTCCTAACACCGTAACGTCTTCTCGGAAGAAGAGCGCCACGCATATCTCTGACTCACCCCTGTCCGTCAAACTGTATGACTCGTCTCCTAAGGTCATCCTGAAAGGCGGGGCAAGCAACCCTGTTGTGCCCTCCTCTGTCACACCATGAGCACAGGTCATCAATGCTGCTGTCCTCGATCTTCGCCTTCTTAGGCATGGGTAGGGTCTGAGGTCGTGCCCTCTCGAGTCGGATTGTCACATCCTGTAGGACTCTATCCACCGTGTCAGGACTCAACATCCTCGAGGCCCTCTCTGCTATCGCCTCCTCGTCACATCTCTCAGACGTCACATCATGTACGACTCTATCCACCGTGTCAGGACTCAACATCCTCGAGGCCCTCTTTGCTATCGCCTCCTCATCCATCGGCCCCAAAGCTGGAGCAGGTGTAAATGGTATAGTCGTAGGTAGTACCGCAACTGACCCTCTCGGGTCCTGCTGTGGTATGACATCTTGTGACTCTGAGCCCCCCTCTCGCTCATCGTGCCTACTGCCCATCTCTCGCCATGCATCCCCCTAAACAGCCAACTCTGAGGGAGGGACCCAGTCCAAACCACGTGCCTCTCCCTCTCTCCTCCTCTCAATCTCGTTCGGCTCAAGCATGAGCTTGTCGACGACTGCAGCCTCCTCACATGTCATCCCCATGGCTCCAAGTGGCCCCTCTGTCTGTGAATCTCGTCGAGGGATGTCCAATCTCACTCCACGTGGCTCTACCTCATGAGTGACTTGTGCGTATCCGATAGGAATCTGCTGCCCCTCAGTCCTCCTCTCGTCGACCAGATCTGTCGTGGCCTGACGCCTCGGACCCTCCTCTAGATCAGTAATCCTCTGCTCGAGTCTCGAGGTGGACTGTCTCGCCTGCTCTGCGCTAGCGACGAGGTCACGTACCATATCCCTCAATCCTTTGTTCTCCTGCTCCAGAACGCCTATCCTTTGTACTGCATCATGGAGTACCTCTCCTCGCACAACCTCGGTCTGCGTGACTCTCCTGACATGCTCCATCACGCCTGCCAACTCTCGCACTGAGGCCCCAAACAGCAACCTCACTTGGAGCCCCTCCTCTACTTGCGTACGCTCGCCCTCGGGCATGGGCTCCTCTCCAGTCCGTCTCCTCATCCTAACCTCCTCCTGCCATCGGGTTGTGGCTGCATCCTCATAGAAGAGTCTCTGTGTCTGCTCCTCAGTCTCATGCCGTAACCTGATAAGGGTCGACACCTGGCTCTCCAACTGAGATGATCGCACAGTCTCAAGGACAACCCTGAGCTCCAGCCTATTCCTGTCCGTCGCGTTAGTAGGTGGCTCATACTCCCTGAGCACCCTCTGAACCTGGGCCCTCCAGTCACTCACCTCTCGCTCCTGAATCCTGAGGACCGCCTCGGCCTCCTCTAGAGTCTGGGCCTCCCTACCCTCAACAATCGTACGAAGGTCACTCACCACCTCTCTCAGTGCATCGTGCTCTGTCTGCCTGTCGCGACTCAGCTCAAAGGATCAGATGACAACTCTCCTCGTGTAATCTCTAACCTGCTCAATCGCCTCTCGAGTTGCTGCGAGGCCGCCGCCAATATAGGTCCTCTGCATGGTCAGGTCGTCATACAGTACTCTGACCCCACCAATAGTTCGATCCTCTGGCAAGTGAGGTCTCGCGGTCTGGCCCAGTCGCTCAAATGCCAACCAGCCCGGAAAATGTAATGATGGCATCCGTCCCGTCTCCTCGGCCAGCCATGAATCCCTTCTGCCAAGCTCGTGATCTACCGACCTCCGAGACTCTGGTAAGCTCTCCTCCTCATGAGTCATGGATGCACCCTGAGTACGCTCTGGGCCTGCCTCAACGAAGCCCCTCATGCCGGCCTCACTCCTATCCCCGTCTCGTCGAGGAGTATCTCCAAAATCCAGAGGTGACGATCCCACTCGTAGGGTCTGTATACCCTCCGTGGGATCTGCCCCGTCTAACCCCAAGACCTCGGCCTCAACCCGCTCTGTCTCTATATCCATGGCCGAAGGCTAGGATACCTCGTGTCGCACCTGCATCCGAGGAGACTCCATATCATATAGTTGGGCAGTCAATGAACCCTTAGACTCATTCGGTCGCTCAGCCAGCTGACTCTCGCTCAGTAATGGCAACCCATCCAATGATGAGGGTCCTATCGCACCTCTCTCACCATCCTCCATCGCTGGCTCTGATTGAGGCTGGTCCTCCTGCCCATCATGCCGTAGCTCGCCATACATTGGCGTCACCTCTCGCGCCTGCTCAGTCTGAGGCCCCTCGTAGGCACCATCTCTGTGTGCCAAGACCTTCGCCTGAGGTTGTCGAGATGCCGCTATGAGCTCTAGCTCACGCTGACGTTGCTCATACCGTGGCCAAATGACATCTCTCAAAGTATCCTCTCTCATACGCCTCCTGTCATCAGGGCCCCACGTATCCACCGAATGACACTGGGGATCACTCTCCACAACTCTTGCGGGGGTGAGGTCTCGTCCCTCATGCTCCTGCATCGTTACCATGGTGGCAGGCCCTATCGTGAGCTGTAGCTCCCCTTGTGGGGGATCTAATGCCATATCTCGTGTGTCTCTCCACCGATAAGGCCTATCCCTCCTATCCTCTGATGCAGCATCGGAAACCACTCTCTCCGTAGTATCAATCCTAGTAGGCCAGTTTGAAGCAGTCGTCAACACAAATTGTAGGGAAACCTCCTCACCATCATGTGTGAGTATAGGTGCCTCATGCGCCACTCCAGGATCACAACCTCTAATCCCTGTCTCAATCGGACAGGTCTCGGATATTGGCAATGTCCTAATCTCACGTGCAGGTAGATCATCCGAGTCATACCTCTGAGACTCTATTGGTAAGGCCCCTTCCCCCACATCATCCGTCGGAAGGACCCCCCCGGTATCCATGGCCAGTACCTGGTCTCTCTCCTCTAGAGAATCCCCTCTACCCTGACGTCCTCGGCGCTTGCCTGTCCTAGGCCTGCGTGGAATCCCAAGCTGCTCACTTTCTCTCCGACACTCTCTCGATCGTCTCTCATCGCCTTCAACTCCCTCTAGCTGTACTCGTGGGCGTGTCCTGAGCTCCGGAATGTAATCCCTAACCTCTCTGTGCAGCCTGCGTCGTCTGCCAGCGGCGAACGCCTCTCTAAGCGTCGCTATAAGCTCCGCCCAAGTCTGCACTGTGAGCATAAGGGTGCTCACTCTCGTCTAAGCTCTGGGATAACCCAGTGGCGTACCTGCTTAACCCTCTGTGCCTCAGTCCATCTCTGCCCATCCCCAAAAATGAGGAAAGCCTCAAGAAACTCATCCAGGTTAACCCCATCGAAACACATGGTCCTACCCTGTCGATCAATGGGCTGAGGCCACAATCTCAGCATCCGCCTGGCGAACTGCCTCCAATCCAATGACTCTCTCACGATCTGAGCCACACGCTCCTCATAGCTGCCAGTACCCCTAATCCTCTCTGTCATCTGAGCGAAATCTAACCCGAGGATCCAAACCTGCCTAACTAATCCGTCCACAAATGGAAATACATGTCCACCCTCATAATAAAACGGATCCAATATCAAAGTCGTAGCTAGTCACTCATCCTCCTATCCTGCCATCCTCTCTCCCCTCCAAATAATGACCAACTTTGAAAAGTCAACCCTGCAAAATAAAGACGGGCGGTCGATAAACTAAACAGGAGTAAGCACAAGAGAAGAGGGGGAATGACTATACTGACTGACCCAAGCAGATCTCTCATATCCTCAGATGACTGACCTGACTGACAAACTAAAACTCATACTAAGACCTATCTAAATACTAACGCACAATTCTATCCTATCACTAATGCAGAGTACCACCTAGTCAGACGAGGAATCGGATACTATTTCTACTTACGGTGTTTCTTCCATCGCCTCACCTTAGTCTCGAGCTGTGAATTTTTTCAGTTTTGAACCCAAGACCCAATCTCTCCACGTTGTGCCGTTAAGCTCCTCAATTTCATACGCTCCATGCCCCCCACACCGTCTGCGATATGGGCCTAACCACCGCTTGTCCAACTTGCACGACCACTACTTTTCTAGTGATGGGTCATACAACAACACCACATCTCCGACTTCCAGTGGTTCCTTTCTGACTCGTGGGAGGAAATCCCACCTCTCCTTGTCCCCTAACCGATTGTCTGTTACTCAATCTGCGGCCTTCTGAATCCTCTCTTCTGCGATGCCTACTTGTCTGGCCCGCAAATCCAACAATTCCTCAAAGGACAAGGTACTCTCCATATCATGATATCCTGCCTCCTCCATGTCTTCAAAAAACTCTCTATCGGGAGTGTGGCATGACTTCCATACCACAGCGTTGCTGGCGCGTACTTCGTGGATCTCTTAATCGTAATATTCTCCACGAAGAATGTTGCACGTAGATGCTTAGGCCATTGATTATCCCTGTCGTTTGTTCATTTGGCCAGTAGGTTCGTGATGGTGGTATGCCCCCTCTCAACTGGGGCGTTTGTCTGCGGATGTGCCCTAGTAGTGTAGCTGGCTTGTACGCCATATTCCTGCAACAAGGTTCTCACTTCTCCACAGGTGAACTCTGACCCCCTGTCCATCACAAATTCTATTACAGAGGGATATCTGAGGAAATATTCGGAGATGCACAAAATCAAAGTCTCGCCAGTCTTGTTGCGAATGGCTCACCCATCGACAAACCCCGTAAGATTGTCCCGTGCGTCGAAGATGTAGTTGTAGCCACCCACTCCCTGAGGCATTGCAAATAGGTCCAAATGGACCACTGCCCCTGCATCTCGCACAATCCGTGGATGCAATGGCTCCTTGTATATAGTCGACGCCCTAACCTGACATGGAACACGCGACTCGCAATACTTGCGAAGCATTTCGCTCATTCCTTCCCAATAGTAAAGCTCACGCGCCTTCGCATACGTCAAGGCAAATGCTTTGTGACCGCCTGTAGGTCCATCATGAAGTGCGGCTATAATGTCTATCTGACGATTTCGGCCGCAAATTACTCTCCTTGGGTCGCCAATCTCATTTTTGATGAAAAGATGTCCGTCCCGGACCAAAAAACGAGGTCGCATCTCGAGTACCTTCTTAGTTGTTTCTCTTTCGCTGACCTCACATGAGAGAAGCAAACCCAATTCGCGGTATACGCCTTCGTACTCATCTGCACGAAAAACCTTCGTTATCTCTCCTTCCTCAAACTCGTCCTCTTCCATATCTCTTACGAGGTATTGACTCCCTTCTCCATCCTCGTGCACTTGGACGATCGAGTTGACGAGAAAACTGACATCAGCCACATACTTTGCGTGCGTGTCGAGTGAGTAAGTTCCACTCTCAATGACCAGTGGATCCTCTCCTACTTAGAAGGTATCTGCCAATGCAAGCTTAGTTATTCAGTCAACATCCCTTCCTCCCCAAGGATCCTCATCCATGAAGTCCTTGAGGACTATATCCACATGCTTTACATATCCTGCAGGAGCAAGAAAAACAAACTGCCCCTGTACAAGGACTCCACTGACCCCAACAACATGAGCATTGATATGAAGCTTCACATCCTCCTCCTCATCGAGGAATGCGTCTACCGGAGGTATATTCTCATTAACTCCGTCACATGATTTATCCCAATTGATCCGACTAAGTCCGTCAGCCCGATTCTTATTCCCAGGTATGCGCTCCAACTCAAAGTCAAACATCCACACATAAGTAAGCCACCTGGCAATAGTTGGGTCAGATGGAGCATAGTTCTTCAATGAGCTGGCCAATGCAGTCGGATCCACTTTCAGCACAAACCTCCTCCCGAAAAGGTAGTTGCGGAACACTCTTAGACAGTGGAGAATAGCAAGTGTCTCCCGCTTGAACTACGAATAGTTCCTCTCAACACCATTTAGGGTTCGACTCTCGAACCGCAAAGACCGTACCTCGCCATTCGCATCTGCCTGAATCAAATCGTCACCCAAGGCTGTAGGTCCTGCATCGGTTTCCACAATGAAAGGACGTACTGGTGTTGCTTCGAAATCAGGGACTCCCAACACCAAGCCTCCTTCCATAATTCCCTTTTTAAACTACTTACCACTCCTTCCTGTTTCTCATCCCATTCTCATTCTTTATCCTTCCGCACAAGCTTCCTCAACTGCTCAGTCTTCCCGACAAAGTTCTTGATGAAGACTCGCCAGAAGCCACATGTCCCAGGAAGCTACGTATCTCACTAACAGATTTGAAGGGCACCAACCACTCGAGTATCTTGTTAGTCTTCTTGATGTCAGGACGACGACCGTTTTCGGTACACACGAATCCTAGTATGGTCGCCTCCCGCATACAGTGCTTCGACTTCAGTTCGCTTGCGGTAAGGTTATAATCCTGCAAGATGTCAAAAACCCATGTAATGTCTTGTATATGGTCCAAGACAAACTTCCTTATCCCAGGCATAACCTCCGTCTCATCCTTTTTCTTTCGTCCCTTCATAGTCAAATCATCAATGTACGGTTGCATAAGATGTGGACTAACCGTCTGCATTATGCGAACCATATGCCTCTGCACCATCGCCACAACATTCGTTCATCCTTGTGGCGTGACGTTCATATGGATCAACCCTCTTGGTGTATGCATCGCAGTCATAGGCCTGTCAGGTGGATACACCGAGAACTGATCGTATCCCGAGTACAGGTCTATCAAGGAAATGATAGGCCGTCCGGCACAAGATTCTGATAGCGCATCTGCGTTAGGCAAACCTTCCGCATCTCGTATCATTACTGCATTTAGGCGTTGAAGGTCCTGCACCCACCTCAGGGTACCGTTAGGCTTGATAAAGCAGAACCATGGCGATGCGTAAGGCCCACTTGAATGATCGACTACATGGGAATGAATCTTGTCATCCAGGTAGTCGACCACTCTTCTTCGTTCCTCTGTCGGATTAGGATAATGAGGCCTTTGCAAGTTCCATGACACGTGAGGCACAGTGTGGATTCGAATCATGAGAACCTTATCCACATCAAGGCGTCCTCGCTCATCATCATCAAATGCATACGTGCGATGCCGCTCTTTCATCACTTCCACCATAAGGGTCTTTTCTTGTGGCATGAGGAACCCTGGCTCCTCTATTATCAAATCCTCCTCGGTCCTCTCATTGATACGACATGGCCAATGTTCTGCATCCTCCTTCATTTGTCATATCAATTTGCGTTCTTGCTCATAGTAGAATTCTTCTTGCGCAGTTATGAGCACAGGAACGGGGTGACACTTCTCAGTCACACGCTTGTACCTCCTTTTGGAACCCTGCTTAAGCCCACCCCTAAAAAAGGTTGACTTGCAGCACGTCTCTGGGGTACTCCTTGCTCTTCATCCCTTGCCGGCAACCGGTACACAAGCTCCACTTCTCCCTCGTCAGAGTCTTCCACTATTCTTTCTCTCAAAGCCTGTACAGCAATGGGATTCGTCATCCCATACGACGACACTATCTCCATTACATCGTTGATGTTGGTTAGGCTTAAGCACATCTCGCCAATAGGCTCACATTCCTCTTCGTCCTCGCCCATTAATCTTCTCCTCCCCCCTTCCGACTCCTCAAAGGTAAACGAGTCTGGGTTTCGTTTGTTCCTCATACTACGAGGCCCTGTATTATGAAAGGTGATGATCTCGTAGTTACCGCAGACTGGGTCACTTAGGATGACGTACATCGTACCGTCATGCTTGTTAAGTATCATTGACTCAGTGCGGCAAAGGAACGACCTTCCTAACAGAAGAGGATGGTTCAAATCGGGCATAACGAAGAAGCAGGACCGCACCTTCGCTTTCCCGATTTCAATCACCACGTTCGAGGCCGTCCCAGTAAAATGAGTCTTCCCGTTTGCGCCATAGAGGAACCCCGAGTCCATTCGATCAATGTCCATTCCTAAGCGGAGTGCGTCAGATTCCTTGATGATATTCATCTCCGCTCCTGTATCCAGCATCCCGCTACACGGCTTACCCTTTATACTCAGGTTCACACTCACAATCCTGACCGATTTCCAATCCATTTTCATCCCAGGAACCGCCCAATGAGCCTCGACAGGGATAAGATCTCCTAGTCGTACACTCGCCATCCTTCGACGAGAGCACCGTGTTTTGAATCCTTCCCTAAGCTTAGGCGCAAAGATGAGGATATCCTTTAAATTAAGCAGGTCATTATGCCCTTCCAGAAGCCTATCAACCAAGGCTTCAATATCCAGGCCATCTTCCAATGGTACCGCATATTTTTGCTTTCGCGAGCCTTCTCCTTTTCCCGCTCTTTCTGGCCTATTTTCTGGCTTCCTCTTCTTTGCACGTTGAGCAGCTTGCTCTTCCTCTTCTTTCCTTAGCCGCTCATCTTCCTCATCCTCCTTGCCTTCGTCCCCCACGTCGATAACTGACTCCCTCTCTCATGGCTGACTTTCACTCGGAGGTTCCTGACTGCTACTGGGGTCCCCCTTCTTACTCCTTGTACATACGACTTGTGGGACCGTGGGCTGTCCTTGAGGTTGTCGAAAAGCAATGCCTGATCGTGGGGTTGAGCCCAAGGTTTTGCAAGCCGGCTTAACACTTGATAGCCCCGTCTCTGGGCCTAATAAAAAAAACATTGGTTTCGCCACTTCTTCGCAAATGGACCTCATTTTTAAGTTCAACCTTTGCATTTTCTCCATGAGGTCCTCCATTCGCTCCATGGTCTCACTCGCCCTTTCCTGGCAATATGACTCCTCCTCTTCCTCAACTTGTACCACCACTGGCTCTTCTTCCCTGGTCTCCTTATCCAACTCATCATTGGCCAGTTTTTCTACCTTTATTGTTGGCCTTGCTTCTTCCTCCTGCCAGAACCGAAACATAGTTGGCGGCGGTGGGCCTCGTTCGGCGCGTCGAAGCGCTTCTTCTCGCATACCTCCAGAAGTCTTGGGGTCAATATACTTCCCATACTTATCATAAACGTCCCCGTCCATGTTCGTCGAGATAAGGCCATCCCTCTCATCTACCCTTCAAATCTGGCAAAACTTGAAGGTATGTCCTCTTAACGCACAATGATGGCAGATAGCATTCCTCCAATCAAACCTTGGCCTGTCATTTCCACCTTGTCCATTCCAGTTGCCTCCGCGTTCGTCTCCTTGACCGCCTTGTCCGCCGTTACCGTTACTTCGTCCGCGGCCTCCACCGCCTCGTCCCTGACCGTTCTGCCCGTTACCTCCTTGGTTTTGACCTTGTCCCTGACCCGTCGTTTGACCAGGCTGGTCGACATGAGGCGGGGGTGTTTGCTGCTGCTGTTGGCCCCCTCCTTGCAATTTACACCTTGAGTTGGCGCAGTGGGGTACCCTTCTGCAACATGTGCAGTCGGTCCTCCTATGGGTGGTCCGGGTTGGTTGTAAAATGGCCATAAGTCATATGGACTATACCCCGGCCAAACAGGAGGAAGGGGCCCTGGCCAGGGTCCAAGTGGTGCTGGTCCCTGTGGCGGCGCCCCACTCGTACTCGCCTGATTCGTGTTTACTTGGGCCAGCGCGACGGCCTGCACTCCTGCACCTTTTTTGGAACCTTGGCCACCCGCGGCCTGGTTCCTTGCCTTCCTCTGACTCTTTGTCAGCTTCGCTACTTCTTCCCCTTCATCGTCATCATCGTCTTCCACTTGCTCCACCACCTTTTTTGCGGCTTTAGCCTGAGGCTGAGTTACCGTCAAGACCTGTTTCCCTACCGCCTTGTTGGTCGGCTTGGTACTTGGCTATTCCATCCGCAATAAGTTGTTGAAGGTTAATACCCGCTCCCTCAGTAACAACTCGGGCCTTTCGTTTCTGCCGTTGTTGTTTCATCTGGAACTGGTATACCTGGTTCAATTCTTCATCCACCAAGCTTTGTTTCACCGTTTCCCATGTCAACTTCCGCTCTATAGCACCTCTTCTTGTCAGGGAAACGCTCTTGCATTTCGTGAAGTTGCTCAAGAAGATGGCACATTGGGACTCCTCGGCCAACCCTGGAACCTTCCTCGCCATCTTCTCGAACACCGTCACGAAGGCACCTACCGTCGTGAAATCAGACCTCTCTAACCTTTCCAAGTCCTCCGTCGTAAGGAGTCGATCCCCCAATTGATATCGTCTTTGCATTTCTGCCTTAAAATTCCCCCAATTGCCTGCGGCATCGGCTGCCACCCTCATAACCTCAGGCCGCATCTCCCACCAGACGTACTTAGAAATCTGATGAAATTTCTCTTCCTCTGTCATTTCGTTAGTAATTTGCTCGAGCAACTCAAGCCATTCTGACACTTTCTCTCCTTTGAAGTGAAAGATCTGCACCTTCGCGATGTTGGATCGTGTGACCACGCGTCCATCCAGTAGAGTAACCAACTCACCCAACTTAACCGGCCGCTGGCCCGCGCCATCGGCCTGATTGAGTTCATCGTCCACCATTTTGATCTTTGAAAATCAGTTCCCTGTCAATATACAACACTTACACAGGGTCAACCTAATTACTTTACCAACTTCAACCTTCCCTTATAGTTCGTCCAACCTCAACCTCGAGAGGTTGTGCCTTGTATCTATTTTAAACTTTCATCATCCATTCACATACACTTACACCACCATATAGTTTCTTTACAAATTCATCTACATCACGCAAAGTCCTAACACTTAGCGTCTCTAAACATGACAGCGAGGTCCTTCCTTGGGTCTTACAAGACTCGTAGGGATATACCGTTAGGTCATAACGGACAATATCAAAGTAAAAAACACACTATATCATTCTCTAATCACAAAAAGTGTTGTTTTGCCTGCATCATCGTTCTGCACTAAACCCAAGTCCGTTCACAATGGACCTTGGTAAGCAGCCGAGATCCCCGGCAATGGCGCCACCTATCGATCACACGGTCCCCGCTTGGGGGGACCTTCCCGACCACGTCACGCAGGATTGGCAGAATTCGCTAGTCGCTTCACGATAGGGGAAGCGGCGGAGCCGCTCCGGCCGAGTGCGCCAGCTATACCTCCATCGAGTCCCTACGACAGGACAGGGTCTCGCAAGGTACAACTTACCTCCACCCGCGGGAGTTGTCACCATCCGCTGGGTGGGCGTATCCCCGCCGAGCTACTGAGCCACTCGCGGAAGTTTTTACTTGCAATCGCGGATGCGGTCCAGTCGAGGGCGTTTCTCGTGCGTTGTAGCATAGGGGGTACGTGCGGTACACGCCTAGCTCGGACCCCTCACGCTGGGGCGCTGATCTCCCACGCGCGATTCAGCGTCGGCCGACTAGGACTTCCAAACCCAACCACGCGATATGTAACAAAACAAACTACTGAGACAAACAAAATAAGCCCAGTCCCTTTTTCATGCGTCCTAACCAATAACTTAGAAAAGTCAGGGCGGTTGAGCAAGGTCTACGCAAAGGTCATAAAAAGAATGCAACCGTCAAGGGGACCATATCCCTCAGTCATGTGTACTCACTTGATCTGTTGTCATGGCGACGCTTCATGCGTTACCCACATCCGCGCAAACTCTCATGGGTTCCGGGGTTGCGTACGACACTCAAGTGTCGAAAGCGAAATATCGTGAAGGGTCCCTCCTTCACGATATTGAACGGTTGAAGGATAAGTCGTTCAACCCTTGCGGCATCCGTGTCTTTTAGGCAGTGAGTGACGATAAGCAAGGGGCGTAGGTTCGGCTCGTAGGGGAAACCCTCTCGTGCTGGACCAGAGCCTAGGATAACCTGGACAAGGACCTTGAATCATGGGTTTAGGACCAACGTCCGACCAATAATCTAAAAAGCAAAACCACTTTGAGACGGGGTTCGCTCGTCCTTCCCCTCGTGGAAAAGGGGTATTAGGGGTAGTCTCAGTTTTCGCGAGCAACCCGCCATACTTGAATTGAGTCACTTCTGATGAAAGATTGAGCGCTGAATTTTGTGCTTGGCTACTCTTGCCTACTCACTAGATGCGTGTGGCAGGAGAAAAATAAAAGAAAGCAAAAAGGGAGTCTCGAAGGAAATCAGGGAGGACCATTCTCACAGCAACAGTTGAACCTTGTCACTCACACCCAACATTCATTCGTCCACATCACCCTTAATCCATGAGCGAGTCCTCGCTCCCATACATACGTGCATACACATGAAGCCCAATAAAAATTCACATGCGAATGCCAGAAAAACGTGATAAACCCCTTTGCTCCCAGATTCATGTCCCACACGCCCCTTTCCGAACCCCACTCAACAAAGGCATACTCGTTCGACCCATTTTCATACAACTTTTGCATGGCCATTCAAGAGAGGTTCTAAGGATAGGTTTTCTTTCACACGGAGATGCCTTTCGCCTACAGGATCACAGACATCTGGATGTGGGTATCATGGTGGGTAGGAGTTGAGTCGCAAACCGACCTGCTATCAACCTGATAGCACAAGTTGATGAAGCTCAAGACTTCGAAGAACACTCGTAGGTAGCAGTGACCTGCGTCACAAAATCAAGGCAGGCATCGCCTGTCGAGTTAACGGAGTTCAACTCCGTAACGCACTCTAAGGTACTTAGCAGTCGTGTTGTCGAGCGCATCGGCCCCGAACGCAACCTTTCTTGGCTGCGTAAGTAACTGCTTGGACGAAGGTAGGAGCACACTGACTTAGAGAGGTTGTCAGGCTTCACGAGGAGATTACGGCCAGAACTTGGAGGCTTGTCGAAAAACTACTGCTCTACGTTCTGGCCACGGACCTGACTCTGGACGTCACGTTTTGGCCGCCATTACGGGGCCCTCAGGCGCATCAAGGTAACAAGGCCCTCTCATGTGAGTTGAGTTGGCCCCTTCTCGTATCTCGAGCGTCTAATCTTTCTTCTTCTTTCCTTCTTCCTCTCAGTCTAGTCTGTGTTTGGAGAGGAAGGCGGCAGGCGGGATTGCAACCCGTTGGACCGCATCAAGGCTTTTGTGGGAGGTTGACCCATCGATTGCGGGAGCTCTGCCGGAGCCCAGGCGGGACTCTGGAGTCAGGGAACTCAGAGGTAGGCCGTCACTATACCATTAGAATCCCAATAAACCCCTGTCTATACAAACCTGATGTTTTGTCTGTTTGACTTTGAATTCTGTATACGTTTGTTTAATTTTTCAGGACTTTAACTTAATCAAAAGGGGACCTATTATGCATGTTAATTAATCTGTCTGTGGTAAAAATCACGATGTTTGCATGCGATGATCTGAATGGGGCTGGAGATGAGGTCTTCTGACCGATCCTGCCGCTTTGCTGTTTACCTGGACATTGAGACGGGGCGGGGTCAGGACCTGTCGCTTTGCTGATTGCCTGGACATTGAGACGGGGCGGGTTCAGGACCTGCCGCTTTGCTGATTGCCTGGACATTGAGACGGGATGGGGTCAAGACCTGCCGCTTTGCTGATTGCCTGGACATTAAGACGGGGCGGGGTCAGGACCTGCCGCTTTGTTGATTGCCTGGACATTGTGACGGGGCGGGGTCAGGACCTGCCGCTTTGCTGATTGCTTGGACATTGAGACGGGGCGGGGTCAGGACCTGCCGCTGCCTGGACATTGAGACGGGGCAGGGTCAGGACCTGTCGCTTTGCTGATTGCCTGGACATTGAGATGGCGCGGGGTCAGGACCTACTGCTTTGCTGATTGCCTGGACATTGAGACAGGGTAGGTTCAGGACCTGTCGCTTTGCTGATTGCCTGGACATTGAGACGGGGCGGGGTCAGGACCTGCCGCTTTGCTGATTGCCTGGACATTGAGACGGGGCGGGGTCATGACCTGCCGCTTTGCTGATTGCCTGGACATTGAGACAAGGTGGTGTCGAGCGCATCGGTTCGGCACCGCACGGGGCAGTGTGGGACCCTTCCGGCCGCGTCACGCAGGAGTTGGTCTAAATCCTCGTCGCGAATATATATATATATGGAGCTTTCGCAAACCGCTCCGGCCGAGTGCGCCAGCCATACCTCTCGCGAGCCCCTACGACAGGATAGGGCCTACGCGAGGCACGACTTACCTCCACCTTACGGGAGCTGTCACCTCCCTTCGGTGGGCGTATCCCCGCCGAGCTACCAGTCCACAGTACGAAAGCTGATCAGTTGCAATCGCAGAGGTGGACCAGCCGAGGGCATTTCTCGTTCGTTATAGCATAAGGGGTACGCGCGGTAGTACGCCTCTATCGGACCCGCCGGCGAACCGGCATCTTGGGGGGCTGAGGTCCCAAGCGCGACTCGTCGTCGATCGACATGACGTATCCCACACACCACGCATACACCACTCTACGAACGCGAAAACAAAAATACACACACACACGAAACGACACAACACAAACAACGTGACAACGCTCCTAGCCCCTTGGTAGCCAACCCATAACTTTCCGATGCGGAAATCGGATAGGCGTCGTGCGCGAGACTCAGTATAAAACCGCACGGATGCAGGGCTAACTCATATCGACTCGCAATGCAAGCGTACGCAAGCGGTCGCAATGATGGCGTACCATGTAGTACCCATACTCGCGCGGCCCTCGTTAATCTCGAGGGTCGCGCTCGACACTCAAGTGTCGGCTGACACGCACCCTAAGGGTTAATCTCTCGACGCTGGACAACCGCCAAGCGCGGTTGAAGACCACACACCCTCTTCTGCACTTTGTGCAGAGTGGGTGGTACACAGGTCCATACCTGTGGTGGCAGTCGTTTCTTCTTGCCCCGGAGATAAGCCCCAATCCAGGCCTGGACAGAGGTCAAGGGGTTTGACTTTGAGGGCTGCCACGGACTACAACGTCCAACTATAAATCTTAAAAAGTACAAATAGACCGAAGGTTCCCTTTATCCCAAAAGAGAACAAAGTCTTGGGGTAACCTCCCATTTTCGGGCGGCGCCAGCGGCCTGTAGTAATCCCAAGCATTCGCGTGTATGTGCGGGCCCCTTTGATCCCATAACTTTTAAACGCTAGGGCGGCGAAACGTCGCGCGCGGGAATCTTATATAAAGTCGAGCGGCTGCAGGTGAGTCTCATACCAACCAACGATGTCAATCATACGTGGTAATCGCGACTCTGGCCTCGCGATATTGAATGGCTGAAGGAATATATCGTGAGGGGTTACCCCACACGATATTGAACGGCTGAAGGACATGTCGTTCGGTCCTCGCGACATTTCCGCCTTCAGGGTGGGGTGCCTCGACGGTCAATGCAAATAGGCTATGTGCGAGGGGGAATCCCTCCCGTGCCGAGCCTAGGGCTTGGGATGTCCTGGACAAGGACCTTGAATCCCGGCCCAGGACCAACGTCCGACTAAGAAAACCCCAAAGAAGCAAAACAAATAAAAAAAGGGGCCTTCCCTATGCCTCTCAGTCTTAACCTCTGAGTAGGCTTTTAGTACAGGGCCCCTAGCCCATGCAAACATTCATCCCAGGTACACCCATGTATACATATATAAAGGGGAAAGTATGTGACGATCACTTCTCACAGTATCATTTGGGTCCCTCACAACCATACGTATATATGTGATCGCAGGCACCCAAATCCAGGATCTAAGCCACAGCACATACCTGCAATCACATCAGAGAGTCAAACAACAGTCCACGCACTACACGGAGTCAATCCCAACCAATCTCTGCACTCATACCCCTCCCTTTAGCCATGCAAGCCCCAACCTCCTGTCTAACCAACCTTAATTAAATACTCAGTACCTTTGTTAAATGACCATTCAATAAAAGTCCG